AAAAGGACGAAGAAAAAGAAGTTGAAGTTAAAAGAGAAGAAAAGGAAGAAACTAAAGAAGAAAAAAGAGAAAAGTATAAGGAAAAAGTACCTGCGAGAATCGGAAAAATCGTAGGAGAAACCGAAGATGAAGACGACGACAACGAAGCTGACGAAGATAAAGAAGATAACGATGATGACGATGAGATGATTGTAGATGAAGAAGACAATTAAAAGAAAGAAGACGTAGAAGAACTTACCAAAAAAAGTAAAGACCTAGATTACGCCTGTGAATTGTGGATAAAGAAAGTTGAAGGATTTAGAAGTAGGGTCAGATGAAGTAGAGGAGCAAAAGAATCTACCGAAAATGAACCTGCCAAGGCCGAAGAAGATACGACGAATATTGGTGAATGTTACCAAAACGAAGGTGGAGTTAAAAAGAATGAAAATAAAACCTTCATCTATCATCAAAGATCTGGCGAGTCAGGTGATGCGGATGCAACGTACCTGGTTGGAGATCGCTACACAAATGGAGCCAGAGCTGAAAAAACGAAGTATGGGAATGGCGTTGGAAACGTGCGGAAGATGGCGATTCGAAAGAACAATTCGATCCTGTTGGGTTTGACTGAAGCGGAATAATAGTGGAAAAGGATTTGAAAAAAAGCTAATGAAAAGTGGAAGAAAAAAGTTTGAGTATTTTTAGGCGAGAACGAGGATGATTTTGATAAAAATAAGAGAGAAGAATTCATACCACCTCGAGTTCCGATATTTGACACTGCCCCTGGTCAAGTCGTAGAAGGTCCATGGAATTAGGTGAAGAAGAAAAGAAGAGACCCCAGAACGTATACGTCACAGAAGTCTTGATTTGGAAATGCTCTAGAAAAAAAAAAAGAAAGGCACAAGGCTGAAGAGGTTAAAAAACAGCTAATGCATGTCTAGAAACCCGACGAAAGGACTTGCTCTATACTTACCACAGTGGAATGAAACTCACGTATATAACCCTGGGGAAAAACAACGAATGACCTTTACTGGACTTACACTGTGTAAAAAAAAAAAAAAAAAAAAAAAAAAAGGATAAAAAGAGTTACCAAAAAGACGAAAGTGATGAAGTGAAGAAGCCAGGAGCCAAATCATAGATTGAGATCGAAGGGTAGAAAAAGAGATAAAAAGAGCACTAAAATGCGGGGAAAGAGAGTAAAAATTTGCAGATCGGCAACATCCACTCTTATATACCCGAAATAGTTAGAAGTTTAATCATGTTGGATGAAATTGTCAATGACATCACTCGGTCTGAACCTATTGAAATAACCCCGATGCCGCCGCCCTACAATGACTCACATGATCTGGTGAACCGGGTTTCTTGACATGTTCCCTACTTACTCGATCTATTCGGTTACAAGAAAGAATCAATATCTTGGTATACTCCTACTACTTGAGGATGATCTTTGCAGCAACTCTAGCACAGAAGAGGTTACTTCATGAAATGGTTATACACTACTATTACACCGTCGCTCTTAAGGTTTATGATGTCTTCATAGTTGTCGGAATAGACCAAATATACTACACTACAAGAGTAACCTACCAGGATCTTAGAGTTTTAAGCATTGACGACGTAAAGCGAGTTAATATTAGAAGTTCATGGAACTCGCCTTTAAACAGGGTGAAATGTAAGGACGGAAAAATGTGATCTAATAATCGCTACGCCAACTCACGTTACCCCAGTTTTGATGATCGCTAACTGAAAAAGGAGTTGTCGGCGATATATTGAATATAATGAAGAAATTAGCTAGACCCCGGATAACTAATATAACAAAGATAATAGATAAAACCAATTTAATAGTTATAGGAGATATAATAGTTTTATTATTATAATCAATTTAATAATTTTAATAGATATAAGAGATATAATGATTATAATAAGTACTAAGCAAAAGTTTATTATA